GCAGACCATAAGTGGAAATGTGGTATGCCTTCTGCATTCAACTTACAACTCAGCCCACATACTGTGGAAAACTGTTCAATTCCGCTAAGATTTTCACCCAAAATCTTCAGATCACTAATTCTACATTTCAGGCTTTGTAGACTCAATCTATGTATTCTGTGTATATTCTAGTTCTTTCTTCTTTTCCTGATTTCCCCCAAGGGCTTCGTTTCATATCTGCTGTAGCCAGCTTCAGAACCACTGAGGGTGAAGTGGACACAAAGGAAAATGAGGTTGTTGCCCCGGATTTCATCAACCGAAATCCTCGTAACTTGGAGCTGCTGGCACTAGCAAGGAAGGAACGAGGCTGGGAAACAACATGGCCCAAGAGAGAGTATTGGCATAGGTGAGTCAGAAATCTGTTAACAATAGTGCAGGCTTAACGAATGTAACCTTAAAGTCATAACTCCCACACTACAATATTTTTACTTAAATTCAACTGAAGAGTTCACTCCATTCAGAAAACAAGATACACCTTAAAGTGTGCTGAGCACCTGCCGTCTGAAAATCGGGGCCCTTAAAGATGTTCAAGTTGGGCAACCAAAATCACTAATCACTCTTGAGACTACAGGCCACAGTGTTTTAGTGTACCAATAAATAGAAATATTAGCAAGTTAGAATTCTCTGCTGTTATTCCAAATGAAATAGAAAAGTTGTAAATGAGCTTTTAATTCCAGAGAAATATCTTGTTTTCTGAATAGCCCTGAAATCTTTAGTTGAATATAAGTAAACATATTGTTGTGTAGGAATTACTGCTTTAAGGTTCCACTTATACAAGTCTGAATACATCAGTGGACAAAAATACTTACAAATTAACTATTAATGAGAATAACATCAGTGAAAATAAAAAAACTTGCAAACTTTTGAACAAGCAATAACTTTTGCAGCCTTAAAACGTGTTTCAGAAGTTTTACTTAGGGCTCTAGTTACCTCTTCAGAGTGTCTTTTGCTTCTGTGCTCTGGTATGCAAAAAAAAAAAAAAGTTCAGAATCCCGGCACCTGATATTTCCCCTAATAGCGTCCCTTAAAAGACAATATTTAGATAACAATTACTTTTAAAAATCCATGAGTCAGTGTTAAGGTTGTTGTAGTGCTTTTCTTTCTACTTTATAAGTGAGAAACACAAAATTTATGATGTCCTTGACTATTTTCCTTGTTTTAAAATTTAGAAATGATGCCATAGTCACATATATTGTAACTTATCAACTTTTAGCTTTTTTCCTAAAAGTTTTGTTTTCAGAGTTGTAAACAAATAACCGTAGAAATGTAGGGCTGGCCTCAAGAGGTCATCAAGTCCAGTCCCCTGTGCAGAGGCAGCACCAAGTAAACCTAAATTATCCCTGACAGGTGTTTGTCTAACCTGTTCTTAAAAACTGCCAATGATGGGGATTCCACAACCTCCCTTGGAAGCCTTTTCTGGAGTTTAGCTATCCTTATAGTTAAAAAGCTTTTTCTCTTATCTAATGTACATCTCCCTTGCTGCAGAATACTGAAGCTGTCTTTCTTTCAGTGTGACACAGTCTAATATAACAAATAATGAAATGGAGTTCTTGAGCAGTGATTTGTTATTCTGTGATTAGCTTTCATGTTCCATGATATTTATTTTTCCCCTCATCCAGACTACGGCTTGAGCGGACACAGCACTATGTGGAGGCCTTTGTTGAGCATTGCAGTGGGAATGTCGTTGTCTCAGCCTCCACCCGTGAGTGGGCCATAAAGAGACATCTGTACAGTCCCAGGGGAGTGGCAGCATGTGAAAATATTGGGCGTGTGGTGGCACAACGCTGTCTGGAAGCGGGAATCAACTTTGTGACCTTTAAAGCTGTTATCCCGTGGGAATATCGCTGTGACTCGGTAAGCATCCATCTCCTTGCACTTGATTTCTTTACACAAATTTTACTGCTCCTGAACACTAAAGTGATCCTCAGGTGGCTCAAGCAACGTACCTTAACCAAGAAAACTATTCAATCCCCTCTTCTTTCAGCTCAGAGCCATGTGGACATCCTACCAGAGCATCTTATCTCTGACAAGCAACACCTTCTTCTGCTATTGCAGTTCAGGGGGCCTCCATGGCTTTGCATCTCAACACAATTTATAGGACCCGTTATTCCAGTACTGGCAGATTTAATTGGTGGGGGGACGATAAGGGGGATGAAAACTACTTTAAACCTTATATTTTACAGCTGTTTCCCTTCTTTAAAACCAGATCCAGCGATTCCAAAAGGCTGTGACAGATGGTGGTGTCGTCGTGGGTGAGCCTCGAAGAATCTATCAATAAAATGAAGACTGGGGGCGAAATTTCTTATAAAGGACTGTCAAACAACTGCTCTCATACAGGAGTGGGCAAAGAAGCAATTCAGGCCCAGAGCTGGGACAATGTCGAGCATAGCATCTTATTATAATAAATAAGTGATGCTGATTTTTTCTTTTTGTTGACTTCAACTCTAACTTGTTCAACGATTTTAATGCCAGAAAAAATCATTATGATCTAATCGGGCCACAATTTCACCCAGTAACTACTCCTTCAAGCCCATATCTTGTGGTTGAGCTAGATCAAGTCTAGATTTGTAGACATCCAGTCTTGATGTAAACTTCAAGTAATGGAGAATTTACCACATCCCTTGGTATATTTTTCAATGGTTAATTACACTCACTTTGTTTAAATAAAATTTTAAAAAAAAAAGCTTGCACTTTATTTCTAATCTGAAGTTATGTAACTTTCAGCTATTGGATGCCTTTAATCTAGCTGACAAAGACCACTACTATTTGGAATCTTCTCCCCATGCAGGTACCTATAAGAACTGACTTGACATATAAGCAAAATATATTGCACTTCCCCAAAGCAGTCTTGTAGCCCTTTTTAATCCTTTCCAATTCAATATGCTTTCTGATGTGTGGACACTAGAAGTAGAAAACATGTAATGATTTTCCCAGTGCTATATACAGAAGTAATACCATTTCCCTATTTTATAGTACTTTACTTATGCATCCAAGAATCACATTAGTCCTGTTAGCCACAGCATCCCACTGGGAGCTCATATTCACTTGGTTATCTGTCATGATCCCTGAATCTTTTCTAGAGTCGCTGGATTACAGTCCACCATGCTGCAGGTGTGAACTGCATTTTTCTTTTTCCTAGATATGACCTTGCATTTGGCTTCATTAAGACACATGTTCAGGTGAGCCCAGTTTGCCAAGTGGTCCAAGGTGCTCTGTGTAACTGACCAATCATTTACTACTTGATGCAAAAAACAGGTGAGCTGCAAACTTTAGCAGCACTGATTTTATATTTTTCAAATCATGAATAGATAATGGAATAGTACTGGCCCATGAAAAGGTCCTGGTCAGATGCCACTAGAATGTAGCCCCCTTTGGGTGATCATTCCTCACCTTTAGAAATGTATCAAGTGGCAGTTCTAAAATCCATGGAGTACTGACTTTTAAAAATTGTTCACTACTAAATTAAACCCCTTACAGAAATGAAAATATAGCAGTCACCTTTAAAAACCAAACTTATAAGCATTCATAGTATATTGTGACCTATGCTATCAAACTTTAATTCTTTACTGATTTATTTTCTATATTAGTCTTTGCATGATTTTCCCAAGGACCAGTGGCAGACTCACTGGCCTATAGTTACCTGGGTCTTCCCATTTACCTTTTTAAAATATTAGCATAACCTTAACTTTCTTCCAGTCCTCTGGAAAAATTAAATGAGGCCAGTGAAAGTCACCAATTGAAAGGCTTCTTTAAAACTGATTGTAGAAGAGAGAAACCTTAAAATGGTGTAGATGTTATTTGATCTTACAACATTAGGACAAATTTATCTTCAATTTCCTGCATACTGCATAATTTATTCTCTTCAAATTTGTATCAATGGGGTTGGCTCCCAAAGCTAGAAGCTTTGTGTGTGTCCTGCCCTATTGTCTTCCAGGAGCTGCTATGGCTTTGGTTAAAGCTGGGGGCCTGTTTTTCACAGAAAGTTAATTTTGTATGTTTCTATCTTAAAATCCTTCAAAAGGGGGCAGACAGAATCTCTGCAACAGCAGTGTAATATACCAGCAGCTGTAAAATAATTTGGTGCCCTCTAGTGGGAGAAGTTGCTGTTGTAATGGGTTGGAAGCCTGATTTTTTTGGAACCATGGCTGTGGTTGGGGAACTCTGCTCATAGACTATTATATGTCAAATGAGCCACAGCATCAAACAGTTTAAATGCTGGAACAGAAGAGAGCATTGTGCAACCATGCAGTTATTAATACCGTTACTTAGGTTCCTGGTTAAATTCCAGCTCCCTCGCTCTAGCTTTAGGAGCAAATCAGTGCCTGTCCTGTTTAGGGTGACCAGATGTTGTGATTTTATAGGGACCGTCCCAATGTTGGGGTCTTTTTCTTATATAGGCTCCTATTATCCCCCACCCCGTCCCAATTTTTCACAGTTGCTGTCTGGTCACCCTAGTCCTGTTATATTTTTTTTAATGCCTTCCCTGCCCGCGCACGCTGTACAGCGAGATACGCGGCTGGCCGTGGCAGCACAGATTTGTATCTTTCCCCATCGCTCCCAAAGCCCTGCCCGTGAGATGGGACAGGGACAGAGGTCGAGCTCTCTGCTCCAGGGCATCTTCCCGCTTCGCGCCAGGCTCCCGGGGCAGGGGCAGAGGAGACCGCGGACACTGGAGCAACGCTCCTTCCCCTGCGATCGCTTCCCTGCCGGGCATGGCAGGGGGCGGGGCGAGGGGTGGCACCGAGCCGCCTGTGGGTGGGATGCGGGGGCTCCCCGCCCCCAGCCCTGCTTCCAAGGGCGGCATCATGGAGTTACTGTGCAGCCGCTGCGGGCTCCCCTCGCTCCTCCCGGGGGTAACGCCCCCCTCCCTGCGGAGAGCAGAGCGCAGCCCTTCCTGCGGCGGCGCGGTCCCTTTAAGAGTCGGAGGGAAAGACGGGTGCTCACGTTACTAACCGAACGCTGATTCGCTGCTGTTCTTGTCAATCAAGAGGGTGTGCCCGTGAGGCGCTAGTTGCGGCCCAGGAACGCCCTACGAGAGCGCGGGCATGGAGCTGGGGCCCGGGCAGTTCGCGCAGAGCCTGCCCCGCCTGCGGGCGCTGGTCCTGGGCTGCGACTTCCTGGGTGAGCGGCCCCGCCTGGAGCAGGGCGGCGGGACGGAGCCGCCCTCCCACCCTGCCGTTGGGCCGGGGCGCCCCCCGCTGCCTGCGCCCCCTGCAGGAGGGGAGACGTGGGACCTCTCACACCCGCTAGCTCCGGGGCTGTCGCTGGCCTCCCCGCCGGGCTCGCTGCCCAGAGCGAAAGTGGCTGTTGACACTGGGCCTCGGGAGCGAGCGCTCCTGGGGGTGTGAGTCGGGCAGCCCGGTCCGCGCCCTGCGCGCTCTGCACGTGTGACGGGCCAGAGCCGAGAGCCAGGGCAGTGGTTGGAACACCAGAGCCTGGCATCACCTCACCTGCTTACTTGCCTATGGTGCTAAACCGTGTACGGTGCACCCCTGATGAGCTCAGCTGCCAGATCAGGTCTTGACTAATGGATTGGTCTTTCCTGGGTTGTCTTGGCCCCCAGTTGATAAATACTGTCGTCCCCCACCCCGATTTTTCCCAAGCCCTCTTCCATTCAGGGGTGTTGTGTGTTGGAACAATTTGTATAGCGGGTGCTGAGAGCCATTGATGGAAACCACTTCAAGCCAGGGGATGCAGCAGCACCCCTAGTTCCAGCACCCATGCTTCTATTGCCAAATGTGACCAGGGAAACTGGATTTTTCCATTTCCATTGCATACTGCGGAGAGAGGCATAGGCACAAAGTTGGGTCTCTTTGTGCAGTAGGTATCAAGGAAAAAAAAGTGGGTGCTGATGAAGATATGTGTGGTATCCTTCTGAAAGCCTAGAGAGAAACCTCTGAGATGCATCTAGAAAGAGACAGAAGTGCTGTCAGAGAGGAAGTAGAAAAGTACTAAAGCAAAGCTGCCTCTTCTGCCCCTTTATGCATCTAATTTTTTTTTTTCCCCTCTTTGTATTGAAAGGTAGGTAGAGCCAGCTATAATCATGTAGGGAAAGGATTGCACCATGGTAACTAATAAGAATTATTTTTATAAGACTTAAGAATTCTTTTCCCCTTCCATCCCAATTCTAGTGATCTCTGCTATCTCACTTTGCCTCTTCATCATGAATGATTACAACAAGGGATTGGAAAAGGAGTTCAGTCTTAAGCCTTGACTGCAGTATAAAAGATTTACCAGTGTAGCTATGTATCCGAGTTCTTTTACTGGCATCGCTTATTTTGTTCAGATAACTGGTAGAGCAGAGTGTCTCAAGCTTTGCTGCCATAGCTATGTCAGTTAGGAATGTGAAAAAAGTCACACATGGTGAAATAACTTTTGCTGGCATGACATGTCATTTGGAGAGGCAATTTAATGCCTTTAAGAGCACAAGGAGTTCTTTTGCTAGCATAAACTGCATCTCTGCTGCAAGGATTTGCCAGTATAGCTATACTTTATAGTGTAGACTAGCCACCCAAGATGTTTTTTCCAGTTTTCTATTTAACACTTTAATCATCATTAGTGTGTATAGCTGGGGTGGGCAAACTACGGGCTGCAGGCCGGATCCGGCCCATCAGGGCTTTGGATCCAGCACGTGAGATTGCTGCCCCCGTGGTGCCGTGGGCCCCGCGCTGCTCCCGGAAGCGAACGGCACCGTGTCCCTGTGGCCCCGGGAAGGGGGGCAGAGGGCTCTGTGTGCTGCCCTTGCCTGCAGGCGCTGCCCCCCGCAGCTCCCATTGGCCGGGAACGGGGAACCGCGGCCAATGGGAGCTTCAGGGGAGGTACCCGCAGGTGAGGGCAGCGCACGGAGCCCTCTGCCCCCCCTTCCCCAGGGGCCGCAGGGACGTGGTGCCGGAGCAGCATGGAAGCGGGGAGCCTATCCTGGCCCCGGTGCGTGCCACTGCCGCCCCGGTGCGTGCCACTGCCACCCCGGTGCCATTCCAGGTAAGCGGTGCCGGGCCGGAACCTGCACCCCTCCTGCACCCCAAACCCCTGCCCTGAGCCCCCCTCCACTCTGCACCCCTCCTTGCACCCCTGCCCTGAGCCCCCTCCCGCACTTCATACTCCCTCCTGCACTCCAACCCCCTGCCCTGAGCCCCCTCGTACACCCCGCCCCCTCCTCTGCCCCAACCCCTTACCCTGAGCCCCTTCCTGAACACCGCACCCCCTCCCACACCCCACCCTCCCTCCCGCACCCAACCTCCCTGCCCCAGCCCTACATTCATGGCCCTGCATGCAATTTCCCCACCCAGATGTGGCCCTCGGGCTGAAAAGTTTGCCCACCCCTGGTGTATATCGTATCACAGTTAGTGTGCAGTGTCCCAGTAGGAAAAAATGTCATTTGTTTTCTCCCACTCTCTCCACCATTGTCCTTTAAATGTTCTCCTTTTCCCTGATCTGTAAATGAAGCACAAGTTACTTTCCATTTAATAACTGTTAAACAGGAGGTAAGGTTGAGAGGAGAATACATATGTAACTTAAAAGTAAAAAATACAACCTTACAAGGATGTTGTAGTTATCTTATTTTAAAAAAAAGTTCAGAGTTAAGATTAAGCCTCAAATTATTGGCAAGTATGGGAATGTACAACTGAGGCATCCAAACAACTTGTACTCTGTGGTGATGCTTGGGGTGAATGGAGAGACTAGGGCCAGGTCTACACCAAAAAATTTTGCAGGCAGAGCTATGTTGGTCAGAGGGGTGATGAGTTCTGATTTCTGGCCGACATATCTGAGCTGGCATATCTAGCTTAGACAGTTATACCAGCAAAACTGGTATTTTTATAATTCACTGGTATTAAATATTTATGTTGCTGGTGGGGGCTGGTATAAGCTCAGTTCTGCCAGTATAAGCTATGTTAACATTAGGGGTGTGTTGCCAGTATAGTGTACTTGTATAGCTATATCAACAAAGTGCTCCTGGTGTAGACCTAGTCTAGGGCCTGGTCTACACTAACCCCCCAAGTCGAACTAAGGTACGCAACTTCAGCTACGTGAATAACGTAGCTGAAGTCGACATACCTTAGTTCGAACTTACCGTGGTTCAGACGCGGTCCACACGCGGCAGGCAGGCTCCCCGTCGACTCCGCGGTACTCCTCTCGCTGAGCTGGAGTACCGCAGTCGACGGCGAGCACTTCCTGGTTCGACTTATCGCGTCCAGACCAGACGCGATAAGTCGAACCCAGAACTTCGATCCCCAGCCACCGAACTACCGGTAGTGGCTGGGTGTAGACCAGCCCTTTGAGAGCACTTTGTCCATCCATATAACATTTTAACCTCAATTGTAACTATGAACACTAGAGTGCATTACTATTAATTGTCCATTTCTTGTCCCTGGTCTTTGCCTCTGCTGTGCCTTCTCAGATAGACAGTGTGGTTGCAATCTTTCCTGTCAGTGATTGTCACTAGTGATGAATAGTATAGCAAATCATCTAACTAAACTACATCTCACGAGTATGTGAAAGTACAGTTTCAGATTAGGAATGTATACTTTTAATTTATGCAGAGATAAGATTGTCCTATTAATATAGAAAAGACAGAAAAATCTAAAATATGTATGTACTGGTATTTTAAAGTGCTCCCAGAAATAAAGCTTCAGTTTTGGCTGAGAAAGGTAGTGAATGCCAGATGGAGAATGAGCCCAGCTCGTGTTTGCATTGCTGGTCTTGGTGAGCTTGTGTTGGCCACAGTGGTGCTGATTAAACATACTTTTTTTCCTTTGGCTCTAACATGCTATGCTGTCTAATGCAACTATATGTTTTAATGCTACATTCAGGGATGAGTAAACATCAAATGAACTTCCAAATTGTGAAGCACACTCTTTGTTTTGAAGGAGTAATTCCCTACTCAGCTGCTGTCTGGCTGAATAATTCCTGGGTTAAGGGGAGAAGTTGGGGGGGGGATTTAATTTTCTTAGTACCGTGTTGGGAGTTTAGATCACTCCTTTGTCCATTTGTAGTTGGTACAAAAGGCTGGAGAAAGGCAGAGTCACATTTTGGAATCTCTTTTTGTGTTCTGTCTCTACAGGGCTCGATATGGAATTCACAGGTTTACATTCAGTCTTTCCAAAAGGCAAGCAGCCCAGGTAAAGATGTTACATCCAAAATGTTGCCATATGATCTAGTGAGTTAAAATAATGGTAGAAGTTGCGGTGAGAAAGTAAAACAGTACATCATGGGAGTATTTCCCCCCCCCCCCTCTGATCATTTAATAGTCTCTTCGATTCACCTGCTGAGTGGTATCTGAAGGCCAGACGGAGTGTTCAGAAGTTCACAGTCAATCAGCTCGGTGAGATCTTTTGTTCATTGTTGTCAGAAAAGATAAAATTCCACTTCTTCCTAAGTATTTACTAGCATTTCACAAACTAGTTGATTTTGGCTAACCCATAGCATCTATAAAAAGTGACAGTCCTGTGGCACCTTATAGACTAACAGACGTATTGGGGCATAAGTTTTCGTGGGTGAATACCCACTTCGTCAGATGAATGCCACGAAAGCTTATGCCCCAATACGTCTGTTAGTCTATAAGGTGCCACAGGACTCTGTCTGGATCTGTAAAAAGCGACAAACACGGCTACCCCTCTGATACTTGACACATAGCATCTAATCTACTAGAGGATTGTGGGACTTTCTGGGAAGGATAAAGGTTTGCAATTCTGTTTTTGCTTGTCTGCTGTATTTGCACTGGTTGTCCTCCATACTAGATCCCTTTTTATTAAGGAATAAAGTTATCAGCGTGCATACATCTTAAGTAGTTTAATGTCAGACTGGCTATGCAAGAATTTTCAGTCTACTTTATATTGCTGCAAATTTATTTTAAAAAACACTGTTAAGGAATCTGTCATCTTTAAAGAAAAATGTAATGGAAGTCAGTCATTCTCGGTTCTGTTCCAGACTCTGTCATTGACTTGCGGTGTGACTGTAAAGCATGAAATATAACCTTTCTGTGCCTTAATAGTCTCACCTGTAAAATGGAGGTAATACCTAGCTCACATGGTTTTGTGAGGGTTAATGTTAATAAATCACTCAGATTCTCAAATGGAAGGTACTAGAAAATATTATTTTCTCCAAGGTTAGACAAATATGCTGCTTTATAAAGCTTCATTTTGTCCTCTGGCATTTTAGGTTGCTATTGTAGGGGCTTCTCATGAGGACTGAGGTATTCAGTTTGATTTGGGGGAGACAGAAATGAGTGCGTATCAACTTTTGACAATGTCACTAAATAAAGGCCAGCTAGATTATGATCTCTGCATCTGCTTCCTGGGCTGCAGAATGTTTTGAACCAATGTAGGGATGTGAAGGGGAGATTTGAACCTTCCGTGCTGAAGCCCCTGCTGGCTGAAAAGGTAGAGTGTTGTTCTGGAAGAAGCTTCATTTTTTTCCTCATCCATTTACACATCTGTGTAGATTGACCCAGTTAAAGCATGCTTTCACTTTGTAGTATAGGTATGTCTGTCCCTGAAGCATGTTGAAGGTGCCCTGCAAGGGGGAAAATGCACTTGTGCCTTATTTCTTTTATGACACACAGAAATCTTAAGCTTTTTTTTTTTCTTGCTCTCTTTTTAATGTTTTTCTACTTACTTTTTACATTAGAAATTCAGGACTTGTCTAGATTGCCTGTGCTGAAAGACTCTATGATGACTCAAAAATTAGTGAAATTCTGACACCACAAGAGACTGAAAGCTAAGAAAATTAGAAGTACTAAGATATTTAGTGTAATTTTGGTGTAATTTTTTTGGTTAACATCTATTTAACTTCAATGACTAATATTTTGAATTAAGAATGTCTTTACTGTAGATTCAACCACCTTTTCTAGTCACACTGTGAGCTGTTAGTACGCCTCCTCCAAGGCATCTTCATCAATACCAAGGGAAAACAAGAATTGACATTTCTAATATTTCTAATGTTTAAAATCAATAGAGTAGGAGCCTTCCTTTTTAGGGTGTTGGAAGGGGGAGTATGTTTCATAATAAAATTAATTAAAGTTCCAAACGCCATCTTTAAAAATGGTTTGCAGGTGACCTTTAAAGTCTTAGATTATCAGAGCATTTATTGTGGTCTGAGGAGATGAGTGTACTGTTGTAACCAAGTCCCCCAACTACTTTTGTAGAGTAGAAAGACCTGTAAACCTACAGCACAGTTTGTAACTTTGAATAATTTTCCTCTTCTTTTCTATTGCTTAGTCTCTTTTCAGTAAGGGCTGCTTCTTACTGAAGATTAATTTGTCTTCCTATTGAGCCCTAAAATCTTATTTCTGTTTAACTACCTGGGAACCCATGTTCATGCCACCCCTTTGTAACGTGGCAGTGATCTGGAGGTTAGTAAAATTCTAGTGCAGCAGCTTTAGTAAATGACTAAAATGGCATAGCGAGGAGAACTCCTGCATCCGCTATTTAATTTTCACAATATTAGTAAACAAGAAACGGAGGAGATCCAGCTCTAAATACTAAGACTTCAGTTTGTGTTTGTTTCTTTCAGGGTTGTCTATATTTTCAAATGAAAAATCAAACAAGTAAGTAAAAATAACGTATTCTTTCTAAATAAACTCATAGCTGTCTTTTATGACAGAGATAATGCAGTTGAGATTCCATGCTGGAGGTTCTCAGGCTCCTTTGTGCAATCGTTCCTCTTGATCCTGTTTTAGTCCTCTTTCTTTTTCATTGTAGGTATGTTGCACACTCCTATAACTTCTTCCTCTTCCCCACAACATTTGGAGTCATGGACTCTGAATTCTCTTTCCAGGCGTCTAGCATTCAATTCCTGACGCATTACGGTTTTGATTATAATAAGGTATGTTCTCTGTTGTAAGTGACTAGAGCAGAGGAGGCTTGTGTAGTTATGGGGAAGTATTAAGGAAAAATATCCCAAAACTCTGCATTCCTTCTGTAAGCAGAAGCTTGCTACTTTTTCAGTACAGCGGCTGCTTTGAATACTTGGGTTTGTTTTGTTGTGTGTCAGTAGCAATACAGGGCTTTGGACACTGCTGTTCCATGACCAGGAGGCAGTAACCACATCTTTGGCAGTGGTTACTAAACTGAACCCCTAATTAACCCTGTGGACCCTGTACTACTGCTTCACATTGTTGCAGTTGGTCACTGGGCATCTCCTTACTGTTCTGTGACACCAACCTTAGCTGCCACAGGGCACCTCCATGTACTTCCCATCTCCTTATCACCAGAGGGGTAAATGGCTGTCTTTACTGGTATCCCGGCACAGACAGTCTTTGAATAAATGAAGCATATGATAGGTCATATGCTTCCCGTCCTCCCTACTCTCCCATCTCTCACCCAGACTGCAGACCACACTATCCAGGTGTGGTCTGCATGATGGGTGAATATCTCCAGGCCTTATACACTGAAGTAGAGTTTTTGTGTCTGTCAAGTGTCATTTAGTGGACTATTAGATGTGGTCCAGCCTACTCAGTTGCATAGAAGATGTAAGACCCTGTGTAGGAGTGGGAAGCTTGGGTACTCAGATAAGAAAATGGGTTTTTAATTTATCATTATCTGATAATCTCAAAGAAACTTGAACTCTTAGCTAAATAAAACTTTACCTGTCTATGATGTTCCACCATCTCTAAGGTGGAAGACAGTGCCATAAGTATACAGTAGTACTATCCAACAGTTCATAGCAGGGAGTGAAGAAAAGAGTACCCAGTTGAAACGGCTGGAGAATTTAATTAAATCAAATGTAATTAAAGAGCTGGAATTTGTCCTGAAAACCTGGATTAGAATCCTGACACTGAGTACTTTCTTTGTCAGCTCTTAAATAATCACAAATGGTCAGGACTTCAAATTTCATGCACAATCTTTCATAATTCAGTTTTTCCCCTCTCTGTACCTGTGAACCCTTTGGAATCACAAAATAAAACCTTTCCCTTCCTTTGCATATGCATACAAATTGGGTTACTGGGGAAATTTGGACTTTTTTAGAAAATGTTGGGAAGCATTTTGGGAAAGGAATGGGGAAGGCCATCATATTAGAAATGACACAGATTTCACAAATAAATACCAATTTTGAGGGTCCCTATCCTCATATTATTTTTCTAATTTAACACCTGAAAATCCTATGATAAATAAACTCTTTTCCCTCCCTGTTCAGTTTCTGAAAGATGGAATCCCATATATGAATGAGGTACAGGAGAAGAAACTTCAGCAAGGTCTCTTAACTGGAAACTGGAAAGTTCGCAGGTAAAGCTCTTCCAAAACCATTGCTCCTCTAGTGACTTCTGTTAGTGTTTGACCTTCACTTTTCACTCAATTTACATTTTGTAGGAATACTGAAACTGACATAATGTCTCATTGCCATTTCTGTTCCCTTGGGGAATATATGGAGTCCGGTGAACAGTCACAGGATGATGCTGTCGGTTGCTCCACAGAATGACTACAGCAGGAGGGAAGGGGGCCTCCTCTGTAAAGCAGTCTTGCTTGTGACTGCTTTTGCAGTTTTCTCACTTTTTTTCTTTTCTGATCTCATTTCAGCACTTTGGACAAGGATAAAGTGAAAAAGGTGATTGATGATGTGACACGCTGGGTGCCATCAGCAGAAGAGGGAGGCTCTATGGTTCTACATGATATTAGTGGTATGAAATAGGATTCCTTCCTCATTTGTGATTTCTCAGTGGCTGCAGCACCTTTTCTGAATACATGGGGATTGCTGCTTGTTCAGCCCCTTACATAGCTGCCTGTCTTGTAATACTCTTGCTTTTTCACTTTAAAAAAAACATACCCAGCCCACCATTGCTGCTGCCAGGCCTTCTGGCTCTGGTCATAGAATCATAGACTGTTTTAATCTCTGTGCTCTATTGCTCCTTTTTTGTCATTATGATGAGCTCTATTGTGGAAGGGTTTTTTTTCCTGGAGGTTGTTTGGTATCAGTGGCTGTTTCTGGAATTGAGGTGGATTTTCCAGGGCTGGGAGTAATAAGTCTGACAGCTTTCCTCGTTCTAAGGTTTTCTGGCTCCATTTTGTGCCCCTTGCATGGAAATGTACTAAGATATATATTCAAAGGTATTTTTTAAAATAATTTGAAATAGGGATAGGTTTCAGAGTAGCAGCCGTGTTAGTCTGTATCCACAAAAAGAACAGGAGTACTTGTGGCACCTTAGAGACTAACCAATTTATTTGAGCATAAGCTTTCGTGGGCTACAGCTACATCCAAAGAAGTGAGCTGTAGCCCACGAAAGCTTATGCTCAAATAAATTTGTTAGTCTCTAAGGTGCCACAAGTACTCCTGTTCTTTTTGAAATAGGGATGACTCAGATTGTCAGCCCTCTTTTCTGGATTGCCGTATGCCCTAAATATTTAATTTTTATCTTGGTTTCCACACTATTTTATTCTTCCATTGAAAAACATTCTTATTCTACCAAGCAAACTCCTCCCCACCTTTAAGTCTTTCTCTCGGTTTCTGGTCTCAGGTTTTCAGATATTTGAGGTACAGCTGATTCTGAGACAGGCACTTCCAGATGTTTGGACAGAGCCTTTTGGAGACCAGAAGGTAAGTTGGAAATGAAGCCCTTTGGAAGGTAGGACTTCTGTTTAGATATGTGTGTGCCTGTTCTTCCTGCTGTGACTCTGAAATCTTGTTTGTGCTTTAATGGAAAGGTTCCTGGAGGAGGAGGAGGGAGCCTGCAAAGGAACCATGCAAAGGGGCTGAACCAGGTTCCCTTTTCTGGGATCCTATGGGTTGGGAAGTTTTGGCCTCTTTCTCTTTCAATCCCAAAGCCTCCTCTTCCAGAAGGATCGCTCTTAGGCAAAGTCTGAAATGACTCTCAGAATTTCCAGGCTTCTCAAACCCGCTCCCTCATGTATCCACAAAAGCGAACATGTGGTCTTCAGTAGTTGCTTTTTCATTGTTAAACTGCCCCTTCTATTAGCCTTGGAGACTTTCACCCATTCTGTTGCTGGTTTGTTAGAACAGTAATATTACACAGCCTTTCGCATCTAGGTCATCAGCTTTAATCTGGCATGCTGTTTATTGAATAGAAATGAGGGCTATTGGGTGGCCTATTCAGGAAACAAGTGGTCTCAGTCCAGATGCCATATTGCAACTAGCACTCTTATTATTATTCTCAAAGAGAGGCTATAGATGGGACACATTTCCTGAGCTCCCATTTCACACCTAAGTGTGGGCCCTCAGAGTCCTTGTTGATGCACTTTGGTGTGAGGAAACCTGCACTGCTGTTGTCCCCGCGATACCTGTTTTATGGATAGAGGGCGTCTTGTTTCAGTGTTGTCAATGGAATACCTATTACTAGCACTAAGAGCACTTAAATTCCATACCTACCCACTCACATCCTGAAACAGGCAACCTATTTTATGGCCACTATCCTTCTAGCCAAGGACACCTGGAAGTAACTCCCATCAGAGTTAGTTTCATTTATCAACGGGCGATCAATGCTGATGGCCATTCAGTGATGGAAGAGAGACAGTCTTCACTTTCTGCATTGAAGTGCTGTCTCCACAGCCTTGGCAGTCTGAAAATTGAATCTGTTTTCAGCATTAACACCAGGCTACCAGACAAGCTGCTTGTGTGTGTGTGTGTGTGTGTGTGCGTGCGTGTGCGTGCGTGTGCAAGGTTATTTCTCCAGAGGTGTAGTAACTCTCTTTTCTTGCAGGTGATGGTGAAAAAGGTGAGTCCACAGCATCGCTGGCGTCTGGAGAACTCTTCTTATGACTGCTGCCGAAAGGAGCTCGTTCTTCTCTCTGCCCGGGGTTTCACCAACCTCTTCCAGACCCTTATTGAAGCCAAGAAGGTGACGCTAACCATCCCTATTCCCACCTTTGGAATTCTTGGATTGTTACCATAGTAGCAGGGTGGTGGTGGAGTATGCAAGATGTTTTGTATGGAGCTGAGTAAACAGATTCAAAGCAGTGAGTGGCTGCACAGACTGGCTTCATTAACCCCTTCACACTGTCAGTAAAACAAGTTAGTGTTTAAAGTGTAATTTTGGCTAGAAAAATGGCTATTAAACATAGCAGATCTGTTAAGTAAGCAGGTGTGCTTTAAGTGTATTCTGTTAAAACCTTCTTACTTTATTGATCCAAAAATCAGACTTTACTGCGTTGCATTCCTGACACCCTGCGGAGCAAGCCTGCCTGCGGGAGAGTGATCTAGGCTCTGTTCTGACTCGTACATTTCAAACAATTTATAAAAAAATCCCAAAGTTCAGAACTACTAAAACCTGTCGCATTTCAAGGCATAAACCACCATCTGAGAGTTAGTCAGAGACATTCCTGTGGGTAAGTTATTCCACTTTGACATAATTGTGCATTTGCAGAGTCCTCTAAAACATCTGGTGCTGGCCACTGTCAGAGCCAGCACACTGCACCACGTGGACCAATGGCCTGATCAAAAATAGGAATTCCTGTGTTCCTAGCAAAATTGTTGAATAAGATCCAATTTCAAAAACTTTATCCCTGGTGATATATAGGGCAGAAAGACCCCAGCTGGGTGCTCAGATCCCAGAATAAGTTTGTAGATCTGACAACCAAAAAAAAAATCTCTCTGGGCCAGCTGGCCCAGACAGATTTTTAAAGGCTATGGTCTCCCCTTCCACCCTGCTCCCCACCCCCCCCACCAGTTCCTCAGACCTCTTTGAAACAAAATGTCTCCCTCACCCTCAGGTTAGAGAGCATACACAGCTGGGGATCGTATTGGCCTCGCTGTGATACTGTTTTAGGCCTTGCAGCTTTTGAAGAGGCTTGTATGGGTGTTACCCCTGTAGTAAAGAAGTTGGGCTATTGGACAGGTCTCAAGTTGATCACTTGACCTACCTTCTGTAGGAACATGCTGATACTGTTTTATGTCTCTCCCCATAGCCAGTGGTGGGACACAACATGCTCATGGACCTTCTGCATCTTCATGACAAGTTTTACAAGCCCCTCCCAGGTAGCGTAATCTTTAGCAGCATTCAAATGCTGGTGCACCTCTCCCCAAAGCAGCTTTTTCAATCGTTGGGCAGAAATGCAGCACAGCACAGTGATAATCATTTATTCCGCATAGTGTGACTGGGCTGATGCTAGATAACTGCACTGGCTCTCCCATCTCTAGGGCAGGACCTGCTCCCTCCAGAATGATCCCAGCGTGGTTCTCCCATGGGGCATAAGACCAGAAGGAAACTTAAACTTTGTTTACTGCATAGAGTGCCGAGTTTCCTTTTTCTCAGTTCTGTAATATTTTTTTCTGAATGTTTGCTTCTTTATTGTTTTTCTTTCAGAAAGCTATGAGGAGTTTAAAAGGAACATTCACAGCCTGTTTCCTGTCCTCATAGACACCAAGAATGTAACAAAATCAATCTGGAAGGTAAGATATAAGAGTTTGTTTTGGGAAATAAAACTTGCCTCACACTTAAATGGAAAGAAGGTCCTGATCACACTCTGGTTATAGAGCAGGGACCAGTTTTAAATGTTGCACTAAGGCGGTGTTCCCCAAACTTATGACGTAGTGCCTCCCCCACCTGTAGTGTAATCTGTCTGCGCCCGAGCCTGGAACTGTGACTGGGGTCGTGGCTGTAAGCTGTGGCTGTAAGCCAGGGCTTCGGCCGGGGGTGGGGCTGGAGCTGGAGTGGAGCTGGAGACAGAGCATGGCTGGGTGGCACTCCCTCCCCGTCCCCCATAGGCGCTGGCCTAAGCCCCCTCCCGTGCTCCCGCCGAACGTTCCTCCGTGCCCTCAGTGGGGGGCACCCCACAATTTGGGGACTAATGCACGAAGGCATCTTGCTTCCCTGATGGAAAAGCTCTGGAAATTATCCTATCTCTTCATTACCACCTTTAAATCCTCTTTCCCCCGGAGGTGTACTACCTCTTCTACCAAGAAGGTGGGCCAGCAGCCTTTTCCCTTCTGTAGTGGTGATTGGTGGTGCCTGCACTGTTTCTATCACACAGCACTTTTTAGATGGTCTGGCTATTTTGGTTTGTTTTCTGATCTTGTGGTTCCTTTCCTCCAAAATACCACAGCACATCAGAAATGTCTTGCCTTGTTTTCTTACAGGAATTTCAGTTTCCTCGAGCATCTAACCTTCTAGAAGTTTATGAAATCCTGTGCAGGTGAGTATTGAATTCTGGGGATTTGAGCCCTACCAGCTGGTCCATGAATCATCTTGGGAAGGGTATTTCAAAAGTCAGTCGTGCAATATTTTTATACTTTTTTTTTATTTTCTTTCCTGCTGCACTGTGGGTTGAGATTGTTCAACCAGTTTCCCTCCTTTCTAATCTGGCTTTAACATCAGAGGAAGAAGTTTTACCTATAGACCTTACAAATTAATTGTCAGTACATAGTTTAAAATTCCTCCTTTTGAATTATTCAGCCAGTATTAAATTAGGATGGAAACTGGCTTTCATACTGATGTAGAAATATATATAGCAAACTAGGTTGTATGCTGATTTCTAGAGGATAGGATTGCTTAGAGGATTGATAACGGGCTCTGAAACTTTCTACCATTATTTCTCTGATTTTGAATTTGGGCTAGGGCTGGGATTGGCAGTAACTTAATACTATCTCACTGCTGCATAGGGTCTTAAGTGGAATGAGTTTGTAATCTCAGGGCAGGTCTACACTATGGGGGAAAGTTGATCTAAGCTACGCAATTTGAGTTACGTTAGTAACATAATTGAAGTCGATGTAGCTTAAATCTACTTACCACAGGGTCCACACTACACTATGTCAACGGGAGATGCTCTCCCGTTGACTCCCCTTCCTCTTCTCATTCGGGTAGAGTACCATAGTCGACAGGAGAGTGATCTGCGGTCGATTTAGCATGTCTTCACTAGACCTGCTAAATCGAGCCCCGGTGGATCGGTCGTCGATACACCGGTAAGTGGAGACAAGCCCTAAGCCTACTTTAGTGAACAGGTGTCCACATTACCCATTCTGCTAACAAGAGTGCCATTTGTAAAGTGTAAGGACTGGACACTATAATACTACTCATCTATAGATGTGTTCCTTCCACAGACAAAACACCATGCCAGGATGCCATGCCATGATGAGAGCCTTATGTTGCTACTGTTTGTGCTGGATCTGCTCTGTGGATAAATAGAGTATATGAGTGCTCTCAAGCAGCCACCTTTTATAATACTAACCTTACTAACTTCTCTTCCTAAGGCATTCTGCTTTTTCGTAGTCTTTTCAAACTGTGGATGCCCAGAATTGTTGGCAAGTTTTCTCTTGTTCTGGGCGCCTTCAAGAATCCTAACTTTTACCCTCTTTATTACCTTCTCCAAAAGCCCTGCATCAAAACAGCCTTCCCTCCAGAGCCAGTCAGTCAGCACCTCTCCTTGGAGTAGTCTGTTTTTACTGATCCTTATTCACACTTTTGTATGCAAGTAAAACACTCTGCTGCACTTGAACACATTCTGGGTAGGGTATACAATATCAGCAGATACAGAGTGCAGCATGTGGGAATTTGTTTCCAGTAAGGAGAGCATTCACACGTATGCAGCTGCAAGGGTCCCTATTTGCCGCTACGGTCACTGATGTAAGGGAAGCCATTCAAGGCAGTGTGATTGGCTTGGGATAGGGACTGCTATTTTTTTTTTAATAGTTCAAAACAGGAGAATTCTATTGGCCAAACTCATGTTCTCCTTGCACAGTCAGATGTTAAAGGATCTTTTTCACAACCGGAATAGGATTCTCTATGCTGCCTTCTGATGTCTCCCCTGAATATAACCGTCTTTACCAAACATGAGTTACAGTATTGGGGGCATGGAGTGAGGGAGGGAACTTCGAACTAGCCTGTTTTTAGATCTCTGTGGAAGTCTTGTCTGTTGGACCAGTGTGTGGAGTGCGGGCATCCACACAGCCAAATGGGCAGGGAAAACAACCAACCTTCAAAGTCTGAAGCAGCAGTAGTTTTAGTTGAGATTATAATCCCTTCTGATTTTTTTTTTTTTGTAATCTATGGCCTGGGACAAGGATATGTAAATTGGGAGAGTGGGGAGGTGTGCAGAAAGCCTTCAGGATACTTGAATCTAGAAGAGGCAGTCACAAGCACAAATCTACTTCAGGTGTATTGTGCAGGGTAGAAGGCTCCTACATTTGTGAACTCCATATACTTTGTTTCCATGCCACAAACTTGCCTGGCTCCTAATCTCTGTGGGTGGATTTATGCAGATCCCTCTGACACAAATTGGTACTTCTGGACTATTCCACGTGCTGCCCCCCCCCTTCCTCTTTTTTCCTCCCAAATATCAGTCAAGAGCTAAGAATTGAAACCTCTGGGGTAAGTTTTCAAAGTAGCGTGCAGGGTTTTGAGCCATATGACTTCCTTTGTTGGTGAAAAATAGAGAGTTAAATTGTTGCTTGCACTGCTGTTGTAATGTATGACTTTATTCCTTAATGGTAGAGAAATTTCTTTTAAGAAATCTCTTTAGCAGTTGTGTTAAAAATGGAAAGCCATAGAGATTACTCTGACAGGGCAAGAGCGTTTGCTGAAAATTTCCCCCCACACTTAGGCATAGGGGAAGAATGAAAATTTACACTTGACATTTTCTCCAACAGTGACCTAAATCCCACCAACCCCACATGTCCGGTGATTGCCCATGCAAGTGACTGTTCAAAATATGGTATGTTCTGTGCAATGAAGCAAATTTTCATTTCTGTATAAAGATTCTTTGTTTTATTCCATGGGAATCCTAATGCAAGGCAGAAATGAAGCTGTAAGTAGCATAATGAACATGTGCAGGGGAACCTGTCCATTCACACCTTTAACGCCAATCCCGACCTTTTATAAATGCAAGTTTGCGCTAATAAACCTTTAAATGTGATGCCATCTTTTCTTCAGCCACTGGTCTAACTGTTGCCTCCTTGGTAGTGTCATTTTGAAAGCTCCTGAGGAGCAGCAGAGACTGCAGGGGTATAGGGATTCTGTGACGGGGGTTAGAAATAGTAAGAAGTGCAAAGTTGAGAGAGGAAAACTGTGGATAATCTGATGCTTTCTGAGAGATGAATTATTTGACCCAAAGTAATTTGCACAGTGTTCTAGAGATGTTTTAATTTATTTTCCATTTTTTGGACTCTTAGCTGACAAGAAATCTCCCCATGAGGCGGCCTATGATGCATTTCTCTGTGGATCAGGTAAAACCTGACATTTCTTAAAGGTTTAACTGTTAGAATTCAGGAATTGCTTTCCTTCCACTGTAACCGTCTTCATTCAATAGTAGGTAATACAGGTACTTGTTACTTAACGATAAACTGCCAAATTATCCATATATATAATTCTTTAGAATTGAACATTTGCTTAGCTTTTGCTTCTGCACTCTTGTAATGTCACCTCTTCATTATTCCTCCTTTTAGTTCTTTTGAAATTAGCTCACTTGCTTCTAGGCAGAATGCCATGGTGAGTGGTGTTTATGAACTTCTTTGCCTTGGAAATTACCTTGCATTCATAGCTCTTTTAGAAAATAGCTGTCAGTTTGTGATTTTCCATTCAACAACTTTGTCCAGTTTTTGAATAAAACATTATTCAAAATGCCACTACTCCAAGTAATTAGCTTGTTATTTTATAAAGCTGCAAGTTAAAGTTTTTGTCTCGAGGCTGAAACCTTGTTTAAAAAATAATCTTGAGGGGTTTAATGGCCTGAGAAGCTGGTAATGAAATTGTGCATCCTTCCTTCTTTTGGTCATTGTTTCAAATCCAGCTCAGGCTCGTAGTGACCAAATGGTCCTACCATCTGACAGCTATGGGGAAATGAACTGATGGCTTCAGTCAAGTTTCTAGTGAATGTTTGTCCCCTTCCCACTGTTTGGTACACTTGTTGGTTTCTGTTGAGAATAACAAGCGTGTTAAATGGGTGTTGAAACAGCACTATCCTTGCACCAGTAGATGTGGTCTTTCCCTCTGTTATGATTGAGGTACACGGGCAGGGGGGTTCTGGGGAAGCTTGATCTGCCTTGTATGTGCTGTATCTGTTCTGTACACAGAGGAGTTCACACTGCAAGGCTGTTAATCTGTTTCCTTTTACCAACACTATATTCACCATCTAAATAAATAAATCCTTCGTACTTCCCCTGCTCCTGTTCCCTTAAAGGTCTGCTGTAGCTAGGAGTTCTCTAAAGCTGTAGTACTGTGCCGTTTCCCTATAGAGTAGATCACTGAATTTTTTTTTTTTTTTTTTTTAAATTTTTTTTTCCAACATAGTGACACGCTGGAGACTGGTCCCTCTTTCTCTCAGTATCTCAATGCATTAACCAAGTACCTGAACCAGGTGAATCTGATCCGAGCTGGCGTTTCAACAATCGTGAGTTTAAAGTGCATTATGTTTACCCTTATTGTATCTGAATCCCCAGATGCACAAACTAGTAGGCTATCTGCTCGCTCACATGAGTGAAAGAAAATGCCAGCTGGTGTCTGGATCTTCATCTGCGGGTGACTTCTCAGTGTCAGTCCAAATAGCATTTAAAAAAAACAATTGTGCTGAATTTTTACCCATTTATATTCATTTTGTCACCTGTTACAAATGGGCTGGGGCCTTGTCTACACCACCGCTGAAGTCGAAGTAAGTTACATTGCTCCGAGGTATAAAAAAACTACACCCCGCCACCCCCAACTGATGTAATTTACATTGACTTAATGTGGTGTCTACACCTTGCTATGTCGGCGGGAGATGCTCTCCTCTTGACATAGCTTCCGCCTCTCGTTGAGGTGGAAGAATTACAGTGACGGGAGAGCGCTCTCCCATCGACTTACTGCATCTTCACCAGACCTGCTAAATTGACACCACTGCATCGACAGCAGCAGCACTGATTTAGCGCTGTAATAAAGACAAGCCCATAGTCTTTTAACTGCAGCCAAGATACCTCTTTCCCCCATTTCAGCACCTATCACGATATGGAAATACAGGGAGCACTCAAAGGTACTCATCTGTATTAAGATATCCCTACTTCCAGGCTTCTGATTCCTACAGTTTGTTGTTGCCTTGGATTTTTATTTTCACATGCATTCTGGTGACTTAAGTTTTGCTCTCATGGTTCATGCCCACAAGAGCCCAAAGATGGAAAAATACTTTCTTGTATTGTACAGGTGGGTATTGCTTAGGCACTAGGTCACTTTTTGCCTGTTGTGTTTAATGATCTTAAATACCACTTTTAGTATTTCCACAGTCAAATGTGGATTAAATTTGAGAGTCTCTGGCTTAATTTCACTTCTTCTTTTTCCAGAATTTCTCTGGCACAGATGTCCCTAGCCAACGTCCACCTCTACTGATTGCCAGTGTTCGGGGATGGCCTGGGGTGGATGAAGAACAGATCTATCAAAAGTTAAAAGCTCTGTGCAAGTTTGATGTCAGACGACTGACCGAGAACCAATTTCTGTTGCTCTCCAATAAATTTAAGGAGTAAGTGATCAAAATTCTAATTCTTCACCCTATCATCCTCTTGCTCCAGTCCTGCTGACTTTTAGTTAAGGGGATGCAATAAGAGCTGCATGCAAGATGTATTTAACGTAACGCAATTATGATCTATTTTAGTGTCAGGGTTGTTCTGCGAGATTATAAAGCTCACCCCAATCTGCGGATTTCACTCTATCGCCACTGGAGACACTCACCACAAGTGAACTGCTTGCTACAGTAAGTGATGATGCTCTCATGTGCCTTCTGCTGTGAGTCAGGAATAATATTCCCTCCTGAACTAGCTTGCCCTGCACCTTTGTATGAGAAACAGTTAATTACTCTTAAATAATGTTGCACTGTAGATCCATCATGAAAACACGTAATTCAGAAGCAGGCTTTATGCGGTGGTTTAGAATGGTCACACTGTAAATGATCTTCCACCTCTGGGTTCTAATCTTGACTTGGATCACCAAGGAAATGTTTTCTTGTGGCCATCACCAAACCACCATGCTGTTATAATTGACAGATGCTGATCTCTGAGGCCCAGTAGTGGAATACCAAGTGTGGGGAAGGGTAAAGCTGTGTTGAAAGTTCAATTCTGGAATATCGGGGGCAATTACAGGTTAAAATTCCTATGTTTTGTTAATCCAGTGATATAGTGGTGCAGATGGAGGGAGACTATTAGCTCTGACCCAGCTCAGGGAGGAGTCTCACTTTCATAATCACCCAATTAATCCCAAATGTAAATAGCTTAATAACATTTTAACTTTCTTCCCCTTGCAGAATTTGTGGGATTGTGGCATCATGGTCTCTTCTGGCCTTTTTGTTTGGAGGATCTCCATGGTATGCCATGTAAAAGATTATCTTCTGGAAAAATCTCAGGGACATCTTTCCGATCTATGTGCTTTTCACCAGGATGCCTGTTGTGGTTTTTTTTTTTCTTACACTGTTAACGTAGTGATGGTCAGTAAAAGGCATTTAACATTGATTTTTTTTGTTTGCCTTCAATCACAAAAAAAAATCTGTGTTTAAGGAGACTGTCAGGTTTTAGGAATCAAATCTGAAGGGGAAAATCCTCCTGTTTTTTAAAATATATTTATTAAAGAAGTACTACTGTACCTCTTCTTCAGGTGCAAGTGGACCAGAGAATCCACTGTTTTGATGGGACTTTTATCTTGTTCCCTGTTTATTCTTCAGCAACATTAATAAACAGTTCGATTGCAAGTATTGTGTTGCCGTTAAAGGCTGGTGTACACAGGCTCATATTATGTTTTTTGGAAATTGTTAAATAGAAGGAGCTACTTTAACTTTAATTCCATCCCAACCAAGGGAAAGGGGGTTATTGCTATTTGCCACATGGAACAGGATAACACTGATGGAGAAATAATTCTGCAGGCTCCTGAAAGGTTTTCAAAGACAATAAAATAAATGTCAGGTGACTTCTGTGTGTATTTTTAAGCACATGTTGGCAAGAGAGTGCCTTGACAGTAACATGTGCTACGCTAATCGGTTTTTCTGATATGGATGAGTGAGTGGGATTCAGTCCAATGACTGCTGCCCTCTACTCTGAAATTTGGTAAGCCCAACAATCGTGTAAGTCTTTCGAAGGAAAACAGGCTTTACTTCTGGCCTTGGTGCCTGTGTGCCATAATGAGCGTTTCTCAGGGACTGGGGATACTGTTCATCGCAGAGAGACCAGCTTCAGGGTTTCCTTGTCTCTTGGCACAAAACTCAACCTAAACTTGATTGGGAATTCTTGGGTCCAAATCTAACCCACTCCTCCATGGGTGTGGAAGGTCCTCAGACACAAAGAAGAGTTTGTTTCTGCTGTGGAAAGTTGAAGCTGAATATGGGAAGGACTCAGCTCCGTGGGGCTCCCTCCAGCGTAAGTGGGGTGGGATACAGGAGCAATGGGGGTTGGGTATCCATTGCCTAGATCCTTCCATCCATGCCTCCCCTCTGCAGGGTCAGAAGAGCACTATGTGGTCTGCTGCAGTAGGCTCTTGGGGGCAGTTCTGCAACTGGCCTGGAGGGAAGAATTCTTCAACAAGCCAAGCACCAAGCCAGGCTCAGAGCTTCCTGTTTGAGCATAAGAACAAACTCCAAAGGCGAAGATAGAAGTGGGAAGTATGTTAACATATGGGGGTCTTTGGAAGACACTGGTTGAATGGTTTATTAACTTATGGGTGAAAATATTCAAATCCTTCAACTAACTCCATAAAAACACACCAGGCTCCAGTGACTGAAGACATGTAGGTGCGGTATTTCTAGAAGATTACACTGTCAGTGGTGTCTGTGTGCTGAAGTGAAAAGTACACTCCCCCCTTCTATTTAGTGCAGACCTTCTCTTTCCTAGAACCGCCTCATGTCCAGAACAAACCTATAAATCGGTAGAGTCAAACCATGATTGCCTTCATCAGTTCCAAGGCTGCTCAGCAGTTATGCTGTAAATACAGGCCCCATACAGTATGCTATGACCAACACTTAAGTGAGTCCAAGGAAGCCATTGAGAAGAACTGGTTCCATAATAAGAGCAGTTTATACTAGAACAGGGTTTAAAAACAGATGCATAACAATATTCAGGTTACTGTGGGCATAAATATCAAGTGCTGTTTGCTTGCAAGCTAAATTGCATGGGTTTTCAACCCCTTTACTATTGGTGTTGTGAAGAGACATACTGTATTTTCAGACATGGTTTCTAAGCTCTGTACAATATACTGCTGGCAGTCTTTTCTTATTTCTTAGGTTAGTGCTCTCATCAAGCCATTAATTTGCTTTTTGTGACACCTTAGCAGCTGAGGTTGACTGGTGGTGGTCCTTTATGTGCCACTGTTGGTAAATTAGTATTTATTATTTCTGTCACAGTGGAGCCCATTGTGCTAGGTGCTCTACAAAGCAATAAAACAGTCCACCCAAGAAAGTTCACAATTAGTTGTAGAGCTCTACCAAGTACACAGGAGTGCACTGAAGATGGTTTTAGCCACATAGAAGTGGTACTTTAGGTAGCAGTGAAGTAATTAAGCTGCTGCTACTTTTGTAAACCTTTCTTCAGTTTTAGAGCTTTTATACTTACAGCTTCATTAATCATGTTTCTCCTTTTGTCAGTTATGTAATCTGACTCTTTATTGGCTTGAGAACTTGTTTTCTTATAAATACAAAGAACAGAATGTTTAATCTGGGGGCAGAGTGGCTTGAACTAGCTACTTCTACACACAAGAGAGCACATGGGCAAAAATTCCAGTTCAGGTTTTTCTATGCCAGTATGCATTCCAAGTAAACGAACAGCTTAACTGAGCCTCTTCCTGTCAGTAAACAGCACAGATCTCATAAGCAAACGCTGTGTGTGATAGTCAGGTCTGGACCTTTTGTTACCTTCCAGCAGACTCTGGCTATTCACTATCTGTGCTCAGCTCTGGCAGTTATAAAACAGTGGAGATATTCCAATCCCATCTCCCACTTGCTGTTTTGCTTCTGACTTGTGACATAAGAGCTTCTGAAAGAGAGCGTGGAGATGTTGCTTGAACATCTGTCTGTGGCAGCTCTCAAAAGATAAATATGGAAATTATGTAATAAGAGAGTTCAAACTCATAATCCAGCACCCAGAGGGTATTGCCTAAAGCAAATACCATCACATCTGCAGCTGTAAGGGCTACATAGAGCTTTGAGTGAGGTACACATGTGCTTTGCTTGATCTGCCTACACAGCATCAAATTACATGGCCATAAATGTAACAAAATCCACCAGATATAGGATGTTCATAAAGATTACCACTCTGACATTGTGTCTCAGCCCTCTGTAAACTCCTGCGCCCCCATCCCTATTTCCTCAGCGTCCCTTTCACTGTAGAATGCATGTTCCGTTCCTGTCAGCGAAGAGGACAGGGCCCACATCAAAACACAAAAGATGGACTGTTTTGGGTGGAGGTGCCTAAACTGTGCTTGGACAAGCAGTGACATGGCCCTCTCCCCCTTAATAGCTGGCATAAAAAAGAGGCTGGCATTGTTTCCCAAGCTGTAGGTCACACTTACTATGACTGCCACTCAGTGAGGGAAAAACAATTCATTAGAAGGCATGTTTGACAGAAGAGTCAGGAGTGCATCACCAACAGAACACAGGAGATGTGCAACAGCCAGGTTCAGCATGCGAATGCTGAGGGGGTCCGGTTGAGTGTGAAGGCAGAAGAACCAGAGGGCAATTCCACTTGCAACAGCATCCAAAATGGAGCAGATGAGAACGAGCCAAAGCCAGAAGGGTGTAGGTGCAGCTCCCTCCATTATGGAGATGCTCGCCAGTGTCCAATAATCTGAATAATCTCTGGGTGTTTCAGTGATAGGAGGCATTAATATTTCTCTTGTTCCTCCTGCAACATTCCTTTGGTAATTATTAGGGCTGTCGATTAATCGCAGTTAAGTCACGCAAGTAACTAAAAAAATCATGATTAACAAAATTAATTGTGATTAATCGCAGTTTTAATCACACTGTTAAACAGAATATCAATTGAAATTTATTAAATATTTTTGGATGTTTTTCTATATTTTCAAATATATTGATTTCAATTACAATACAGAATACAAAGTTTATATTTATATTCACATTATTTTTATTACAAATATTTGCACTGTAAAAATGATAAACAAGAGACAGTATTTTTCAATTCACCTCATACAAGTACTGTAGTGCAATCTCTTTATCGTGAAAGTGCAACTTACAAAAAAAATCTACATTTGTTACATAACTGCACTCAAAAACAAAACAATGCAAAACTTTAGAGCCTACAAGTCCACACAGTCCTACTTCTCGTTCAGCCAATCGCTAAGAGAAACAAGTTTGTTTATATTTACAGGAGATAATGCTGCCCATTTCTTATTTACAATGTCATCAGAAAGTGAGAAAAGGCATTCACATGGGACTCCTGTAGCCGGCATTGCAAAGTATCTACGTGCCAGATATGCTAAACATTCGTATGCCCCTTCATGATTCGGCCACCATTCCAGAGGACATGTTTCCATGCTGATGATGTTTGTTAAAAAAATAATGCGTTAATTAAAATTGTGACTGAACTCCTTGGGGGAGAATTGTATGTCTCCAGCTCTATTTTACCTACATTCTGCCATATATTTCATGTGGTAGTAGACTCGGATGATGACTCAGCACAAGTTGTTTGTTTTAAAAACACTTTCGCTGCAGATTTGACAAAACGCAAAGAAGGTACCAATGTGAGATTTCTCAAGATAGCTACAGCACTCGACCCAAGGTTTAAGAATCTGAAGTGCCTTCCAAAATCTTGAGAGGGATGAGGTGTGGAGCATGCTTTCAGAAGTCTTAAAAGAGCAACACTCTGATGTGGAAACTACAGAACCCGAACCACCAAAAAAGAAAATCAACCTCCTGCTGGTGGCATTTGACTCAGATGATGAAAATGAACATGCATCGGTACACAGTGCTTTGGATTGTTATTGAGCAGAACCCATCATGGATGCATGTCCTCTGGAATGGTGGTTGAAGCATGAAAGGGACATATTAATCTTTAGCACATCTGGCATGTAAATATCTTGCCACGCGGCTACAACAGTGCCATGTGAACACCTGTTCTTACTTTCAGGTGGCATTGTGAACAAGAAGCGTGCAGCATTATTTCCTGCAAATGTAAACAAACTTGTTTGTCTGAGCGATTGGCTGAACAAGAAGTAGGACTGAGTGGACTTGTAGGCTCTAAAGTTTTACATTGCTTTATTTTTGAATGCATTTTTTTTTGTCACATAATTCTACATTTGTAAGTTCAACTTTCATAATAAAGAGATTGCACTACAGTACTTGTATGAGGTGAATTGAAAAATACTATTTATTTTGTTTTTTACAGTTCAAATATTTGTAATAAAAATAAATATAAAGTGAGCACCGTACACTTTGTATTCTGTTATAATTGAAATCAATATATTTGAAAAATGTGGAAAACATCCAAAATATTTAAATAAATGGTATTCTATTTTTGTTTAACAGTGCAATTAATTGCACAGTTAATCACGATTAATTTTTTTAATCGCACGATTAAACACAATTTTTTTTCAACACTTGACAGCTCTAGTAATTTTGTATCTGATGTACAGGTACAGCTAAGAATACCTGAATGTTGTCACACACAGATTGCTTTATGACATTTGCCCTAAATGCAAAGTATAATGTTAGCTTATCCCCAAAAATTCAGTGTCTCAGGAGATTTGGTCTCTCAAGGAATTTAATGAGAAATTCAATCCCAAAGTTTGGGAACTCTGTTCCCAAAATTTACTGGCTCACCAGCTATTTAGCTTTACCAGCTCCCTGAGGATTTTTCATTGTCTTTGTGTTTTTCCCATGTTTTAGTGAGAGATGATGATGGAACAACATCAAAGAAAAATACCAGTGGTGACTCGTCTT